TTTAATGTCATAATGGTAATTTACTATATTGCTAACTAGTTCTAGATTAATAAGGTAGCTCTACGTTAACGACATTGTGGTAATTTACCAGATTGTCAACTAGTTTTAGGTTAATGAGATAGGAGTAGTCTACATGACTGATAAGTTGCTCTATGGTAGTGATGTGGTGGTAACCTATCATATCACCATTGAAATCGTTGACATGCAAATCATTGTCCAATAGATCTACCTTGATGGCTGTAGTAGTAGTCCGCTGGATTGATAATTTTATCTGTCAACTAGCTCACCTGAATGTCCTGGTAGCTTACCCGATTGCTAAGCAAATCAACTTTAATCGTATTGTGGTAGACTACCATATTGCTAAGCATCTCTACTATGTGGATGCTGTAGTAATATTTCAGACTTGTTGGTAGTTCTAGCATAATGACGTAGTAGTGGTCTCCCACAGCATAAGCGTCACTACCAGTTGAAAGATACAAGACTTCGGAGAGTGAGCACAAAGGATTTGAAAGTCATGAAGTGCAGAATGCAATTTGTTCTAGCTCGTTTTCTAGATCGTGTTGTGTTGATTTGTAAAAAGAAAATGGGGTGCCACCAGTGATCTACTAGACAAATGCTTAGAATTGCATGCACACACATTCTCGCTTCATTATATTCAAGGAAAGCCAAAGATAATATAAATGTCGGCGACACCGTATTGTCTGCTTTTCAGCTTCCTTGCCGGCCACAATATACAACGAAGCTTATATGGATTTCAATATGTCAATCTGGGTGGTATCAGACTTAAATAAATGTAGTTCAATTAGACCGCCGCCCAAATACCGACAAACTGGCGGCACTATTGGAGTAAGGAGGGCGATTAAGGACCGGCCAAAATGGAAACTACTTTATATTAGCGATGAAGAGTGAGTTTTCTCTACTTTCCTTACTTAGTAGTAGTTATTCCTTAGCTTTGTTGTCTATACTTCGTAATGTAATCCTTTGTATAATGAAAGCTAACTGTGACTGGTACTAGGCTACTTGACGTGTAAATAGTGTATTTGCTGTTATAACTTTAATAAAAAAAGAGCATAATCTTCAAAGATACCAGCTAGCTCCTATTCACTTCTAGCCATTTCACATTCAGATTGTGGATCGCAATTTTTTGCGTGCTGTCGTAGAAGTGCCGCCATCCCTCCTTTTCTTTGAAAGTTTTGATTGCATATTGGACGATAATTCCTTGTGTCGACTATGGCTCTGAATTGACTGCTCTGTAAAGTCTAACATCTCGTGTGGTTAAGCATCGCACGATCTTCCTCTCGAACATGAGTTGTATCTTGAACAATGCTCTGTTCCTCCAGTTCTGTCTGTAAATTGATCAAATTCTTGGTCAATCCAACATCTGACAGACTTTCCTTGAACATTCTAATTACCAAATCACACCGCTCTTCATGAATGGCATGATTTCAGCTACTGTACAGTCAACCAAATGCAGTACTAAGGTTTCGATACCATCGGTATTTTGGATGTGACGGATTTGGGGTAATCGGGCGTGGCAATCATATCGGATCGCGTTGTTATATTTCTGTTTATACTTGCTGTACGCTCTCCATAACTCCACAAAAACAGGATGATTTCAGCAACGCCTCTATCTAGCACTGCCAGGATTACGACCTCAGGCATCTCCACATTTTCTCTTTCCACTTCTTTTATCGCATATCATTCATCATTAATTCCATCTGTGCTTTCTGGGAAGATTGGATCTGGAATTTGTTCCATCAGAGTCCTGCGCTCTTCATACGACAATGTTGACCACGTTTTCGTAGATTTTGACATTGTTTCCCCTCTACCAACCACCGGTTGGTCTTGGCTGCATCTCCGTGACAATGAAGTGCAAATGTTTTAGCGAGTGGTGATCTGCGTTTGCTACTAATGCCCAGAAAGCTTCCTGGCACAGCAGTTGTATACCAGCTATTTCACGGTGAGCAATTTAATAATGTTAGCGTTAGTAGAATGAAAGTGGTGTTTGTCTTTATCATAACTTACACTGGTAAGATGCTTGGTAGCTCAAACAAAAGATGCGTCAAAGGGCTTGAAGCTCCGTCAAAAGACGAGTACTTGGAATGGCTTGCCAATCCGGCGGAGGGGACAAATGCAACACACTGCGGCCAGTCTTTTAGATGATCACTCGTTTGAATTGGGTACGCTATATGTAACGGGGTTACACGCAAGTGGCTACATGTAACCACTTGGTTACGAAGGGTTTCCACATTGATGTGCGATACATCAACGGTTACATTTGGTAGACGACTAGTCTGCATGCATTTAGACTTCCCATTGGTAGAATGGCAACATCTTTCTACCAATTACAGCAGTAGGATTCTGCCAACCACTCGTTGGCAAATACTTTTCATAT